TGTGACCTCACGTACTACACCCTGGACTCTGCTCGCCGCTACTACGCACGGGTCAGGGCTGTGTCTGGAAACCACACATCCCCCTGGCAAAGGACCAACTCCTTCTCCCCGCAGGAAGGTAGGCTGGGTGCCTGCCTCCGCTCTATTGCCAGGGGCTGTGAGGATGGCAGAGGTCAGGGTGCCGAGCTGCTTGGGAAGAACTTTGGAAGCAGGGATTTCTCTTTCCAGCCGGGCTGTGGGATGGGATGAGACAAAGCACGGTCATCCAGCACTGGCTGTAGGAAACAGTCACAGCTCAATCCACCGCTGCAAAGGCTTTTAGAGCGGCAAACAGCACAAAGTCCTGATGTGCTCTTCCAACTGATCCGTTTCCAGCCAGCCTGCGCCTGTCAGGCCAGAGCCTCTCTGTGATGGGCAACACCATCCACGTGCAGCTGCAGCTCCTGCTCCGGATGGGGAACCTCACTGTGAAGTACGATGACATCCAGAAGCACGCGAGGCGATACCGGGTGTACATCAGGAGGGCACAGGACAATCGGACGGTGAGATGAGCTGCTGGTCCCGTGCTGTCCCCATCTGCCACATGCAGTGCTGCTCAAGTTGAAATCATGTTTTGAAGCACAGGATTCTGTAGAACTTAATATAGAGCTTTGCCACAACAGTGCAAAGATTTCTCTGCACCACTTATTGCAGTAGGCTCCCCAGTTCTCACTGGGAGTTTGGGTCTAGCTGGTAGCACCCCAAGGGAAGAGGGGAGGAGGGAGGAACACGCAAAGCCAGCACTCCTGCGGGATCTGGGGGCTCTCAGGTACCAGCCCACACTCTGGTCATTGCAGTATGAAGTGATGGAGACCTCCCCACAGTTCAACATCAGCAACCTCTTCTGGGACGCAGAGTACTGCATCAGCGTGGAGCCCAGCGTGGCCAGCCGGCACAGCGGCACCGCGCGCACCGACGAGCAGTGCGTCACCATCGGCCACAGGGACCGTGAGTGCTGGGGAGCCAGGGAACGGGGGCCCCTCCTCAGCCTCCTGGCCCTCGTGCTTTGTGCACTGAGACTCTGCCGTGTCCTCTCTTGCAGGGAGTGAAGAGCTTGTCCTGAGCGCCGTCAGCTCCTCCTTCATCACCTTTTTGCTCCTGGGGCTCCTGGGGGCTCTGCTGGTGTGCGCCTACATAAAGAGACCCATGAGGCCGCCGTCTGTCCTGGTAAGGGAGTCTGAGGCATGGCACCTTCTGCCACTGGTGCAGGCTTGGGGAGCTCCTGGGAGAGGCAGGGGTAACGCACAGCTCACATCCCTCTTTGCTTTCCATCCTAGAAGTCCTTCATGAAGCAGAGCTCGCTCTGGGCAGAGCAGGAGCCCTCGTCCTCAAGCAGCCCCGATGCAGACCCCGTCCAGCAGCTATTCCTGTGCCAGAAGGAGCCCCATGAGGACAGTGTCCCCATCAGCAGCACCAGCACAGCCCAGCTACCCATGGAGAAGGGCTGGAGGCTCCCAGCATGGCCTGAGGACAAGGTGTGCCTGCTGGGACCGGGGACCATGGGGAGCAGAGACAGCAGCGGCACCAGCACCGACAGCGGCATTTGCCTGCGCACCTCCTCCTTGGAACTGAGCTGCTCCTCAGGCACCGAGCCCCAGGGATACAAGAGGCAGCTTCCCAATGGTGATGACAGCGGTGTGGGCTTGGAGAGCTCCTGCCCTCGCCCCACATGCTCCTCTGGGAACACCATCCCGATGGAGGACAGGCAGCCCTGCAGAGGAGAGCTCAGCATCCCCCCTGACACCAGCCAGCAAGACGTGGAATTCCGTGGGTACCTGCAGCAGTCCAAGGGCACAGTGGAGCCAAGGCAGGATCCAGCCAAGGGGATGCCCTTCTCAGTCTGTGCAGCATCCCTGCAGGGCCCGGGCAGCACTGGCATTGCGCTGGATACAGAGTGCTCCGAGCTGGCTGTGGTCAAAGGGTATTTGAAGCAGTCCGCTCCTGAGCATCCCCACAGCCACACACAGGGCCTTGCTCCATGGAGGGTGACTCAGGAGCCTGCTGTCTCAGATGTTTCCAGCCAGGCAGGGCCCCAAGCCCCTGGTCTGATGATTTATGGAGCTTCAGGTGCTCCCCTGGCCTCCAGAGCCCACCCTGAGCGGCTGAAAGCTCCCTTGGACCTGAACATCTTCAACACTGACCTCATGGGGACGCTGCCCCTCGTTTCCAGCCTCAGCAATAACAAGTGCCTCATGCTGCAAATCAACCCCTTGAGCCTGCTCAATGGGGACAGCAAGGACAGCTGCCTGTGAGCATCCCCACATGCTGACCCAACTACCTCTTCTAGCCACTGCCCACAGGAGAAAATACTCTGATAAGCTACCACCAACCCCTGGATGTCAGCGCATCAAACTCAGCGGTGCCCTGGTGAAGACTCACTGGAGAAGCATCAGTCTAATGATTTCTGGGGCTGCTTCGGCCCTGGCACTGCTGTGGCCAGCCCCCAGCCATCCTGCACCTTCCCTCTGGTACAAAGCTAAGGAGACACAGGGACAGGCTATGGTGGAGGGGCTCATCCCTGCCTCCTCCAGCCACCAAGCCCAAGGATACCCACCAGGATGCTCCCAAGGGGCAATTCCTGCCTCCTCTGCCCAGCACAGGGCACGCGGCCTCAGGGCATCCTCGAGAGTCTGTGTTTTCCCTCTCCCCTTCCCTTTCACAGGCAAGTGCTGGGCTCCTCCATCACATCCGCAGTGCTGATGCTGTCCAAACCTTTCACAACAGACACCAGCAGCAGGCTGACGTCAAGCATCCTGCTGCAGGCAGCACGGAGCTCCCACCCTGGCTGGCCTCGCATGGAGGGAGACAGGGATTTTCCTGACCCTACAGAGACCTTTCAGCATCCAGCCCCTATGACAGAGACCCGGGTGCTGGCTACCTCCAACAGGGTGCAGGATGCGTGCAGCAGCCACCCTATGAGCCCAGCTTGAGCCAGGGCAGCCCTGCCCACACTATGGTCCATGTTCTGCCACTATTGCGTACAGACATTATTTATTCTATTTAATTTGTAAATACAGAAAGGATGTGGTTCATCCAAAGCTATTTGGTCTATTCATCTGTACGTCCTCCCCCAGGGTCAAGCTGCGTTTGCTCTTTCCAGATATGGGCTTTCCCCCACAGCAAAGGGCAGTGTCTCACGTGGGGAAGAGCGTTTGCACATCACAACTTCACTCTCATCTAAGGACCAGGGTAGATGTCAGAGGGGAGAGTTGTGTGATGAGAACATGCACCAAAGGAGCAGCAGGGAAGGGACCAGCGCAGCTTGTGGTGATGCAGCACATCCCACGGGGCAGCAGCTTGGGGACCGCACACCAGGGAGGAAGAGGAGCAGAGCAGAACCAGTCAAAACAAGGGGATGGGGGGAATGGTTTCTGTCAGAATGGAAAGAAGCGTGAGATGGGAAGGACTTACCATGGGCTATGTTTGACTGTAGCCACTGGAGAGCTTTTCCTAAAGTCACTGGCTTTCCAAGAACCTCCATGGTGGGATAGTCCCATTAAAGCACTGCTGGAAACCCAGCTCGGGGAGTACTTTTGTCAGGTGAACACATGAATCACTGCCGTCAGGAGGGTGGTTGATGCACTGCCGCTTCCTGCTGTTGCATCTGACGTAGCACTGCTTGCAGCTGAGACACGCTGCCTGTGTCATGCACAAGGCAGTGGGTGCCCACAGCAGCAGCACCACCAGTGCCAGGCAGGGCATCCTCTGCCCTCCCATTGCCCCCATTTCTTCTGCCTCTGCGTATTTCCTTTTCACTTTCTCTGTTTTCGACTTCCTCTGGAAATGGGGGTCACCAAAGGCAGCACAGCTTCTGTTTTCATTTCAAACGCTCCTGACATCAGCCTGCATCCGCATCCTGCGCAGTGCTGGGTGCTGCCGGTCCCTGCTCACCGTGCACGACTCCAGCCAACGGTTCCAGGGGCAGCGAGAGGCGATGCTTCAGTGGAAGCCGGATGGGTTTGCCAGAAAACCGCAGAGCAGCGCTTTGGCTGCGGCAGGCGGGAGCACAGACCCTGCCTCCGGTGCCCTGGAAGTCCCACAGGCTCACACTTTCCAGCCTGACGCAGGAGGAGCTCGGCTCTGACTCCTCCTGCAAGCAGCTCTCTGTGCACTGTGGCTGTCCCAGCACTGCACAGACCCCATGGAGAGCAGCACAGTGGGCATGGGAAGGAGAAGGCAGGGAGCTCGTGCTCCCTTGCCTACCAGGATGCAGGATGGGGCCCCTCTGCTCCATCCTCACCCTTTTCCCTACACACAGCAACGCTGTCTCCCAGGTTTCTCTTCATTTTCCTTCTGAGAAAGCAGTTGATGGAGAAAGAGCCCTAAAGCTGTTCCTTGCCAGCACTGTGGGCCCACAGGGGCTTTCTTAGGTGTTTGCACTGTCAGTGCAGGGGACAAATTTCCACATTGGTACCGATATTTCACCGAGGAGGGAAGTCTGAAGCAGTCTCATTTCCTTATGAGATTTTCCTCTATTGCACAAAAGCAGCCATCCAGTTCTGTGGCTCATTACCACCCTTCTTAGCTGGTTCCCCAAATCTCACACAGCCCTGTTCACCAACAGCCTTGGCCCAAGGGTGGCTGGTCCTGAGGGATGGGGTGTCTCTGGGTCATGGGATGCACACTGAGGGAGCCTGGGATAAGGCAGCTCCCTCTTCCTCCAGCCCAAGCAAGGGGAGGCTGTGGCAGCGCATGGGGATGGCAACTGGCCCCGGGCACCTTCCCATGCCGAAGGAGGGCCAAAAGGGGAATGCAGCTGTGGGAAGCAGATGGAGAAGCTCCTGTAAAACACAAACTGCACCGCTGGTTTCAGTGGAAACCCGCACACTGAGGGGCTGTGTTTCAAAGAAGAAAGAACACAGGAATTCCCCTGTGGGCGACTTTGGTTGCTCTTTGTGTGGGTGCTGGGAGGCGGCTGGAGGCAGCAAGGGGAAGCTGCACAGGGAGCACTCAGCCATCGCTCCCAGCCGTGTGCCCCATCCCAGGCTGAGGACAGGGGCATGGGGAAGGAAATGCAAACCGAAGCCTGCACTGGGACACCCGCACAAAACCAGCGCCCAGGGAAAGCCCCTGATGCCCCACAGACGAGAAGAGGACTTTCAAAGGAAAATCCTTGGGATTATCCCAGGGAAAGCTGCGATGACCTAGAGCTCCGTGGAGGCATGGATGCTCTGGGGCACAGACCCACTGCTCCAGCCACCCCAAATACCAGGCACACAACTCCAGGGACCCCCTCACCGTCACCAGGCATGGAGGAGCAGGGAGCATCCTACCTGCACATCCCGGCTCCCGCTCATGGTCCCTGGTTGTGGAAAGGCGCGTAGCTGCTCCCTGCCTCGCTCAGCGAGCCGCTGATGCTGAATGGTGGCACCAGCTCCACCGCCACCGACCCACTGCAGGGAAGGCAGAGATGCCAGCCTGCTCCGCAGCCAGGGCTGCCCATGGCATCTGCCCCAGGGCAGGGCTCAGTGGGGTTGGGACTAGCGAGGGCTTGAGACACCTCTGCACCATGCAAAGGGAGCACCCAGCCTGCCCCAAGGCCCCGCATGGCTTCACTCACCAGGTGTGGTAGAGGTTGAAAACGAAGTCGGGCCCTGGGGAGGTGAGGAGGAGAAGTGTCAGAGCCTTTGCTTTGCCATGGATCTGTGCAGCGGGATGGGAAAGGGCAGGACAGCCCCTGGGGTAGCCAGCAACACCAGGACATCACTGTGAACCCCCTCCTCAGCCTCTGTGTGGCCCCAGCTGGCCCCAGAGCCACCCTGCATGTGGGCTTCCCCAGGCACCAGCCAATGTCAGGGATGCTCCTCGCATCCCAGGCCCACACTGCCCATACTCACGGCACCAGCACTGGCCCCTCTGGTACCACCGGATGAAGGCGCAGCCAAAGCCCACCAGGATCAGCAAGGCCAGCCCGACACCCAAGACCACTCCGAGCACCTTCATGGGCTCTTGCTCTGTAAGGGAGAAGGGGCTCTGCAGGCAAACGCCTCTGGGAGACTGGGGGTTCTGAGCATCCCAACTGGAGGGACTGCGCTTCACTGCCAGGAGCCGTGCCCAAACCCATCCCATTGTGCTGGGAGCAGGAGCTGCCCACCCCGACGGCGCCTGCATCCCCACGCCTGGTCCCACGCACACTGCTGGGGGGAAGCACCTCCTTGGAGCCGCTGGTGCTGCCCCAGTGCTCCCGCAGCCATGCAGTGCCATACCCTGGTCGGTGCCGGCAGTGTCCCTGCGCAGCTGCACAGACCCATTTCTGGACAGGCAGTTCCCTCTAGAGGATGTGTTTGTCAGGGCGAGCAGTCCCTGCTGCCAGCGAGGGCTGGGACTGCAGGATGATGGGGCTGTGCAGGACCGCCCCCATCCCTCCCATCCACAGCCAACTCTCCATCACTGTCAAAGCGACAGCAAGGTACCCAGGCACAGCACCGTTGATGGGCATCCATTTCTCTGCTGACAATAGGTTGCATGCTGCACAGGGCGAATCTTGTCTAACCTACAGCACCAGGGTGCTAATCACACCTCTCTCTAGCTGCTATCAGCTCCTGCTTACTCAAACCCCCATGCATCCCAAACACCACCCTAGACTCTTCCCCACTGTCACAGCAGGCTCCACTGTGAGCACATCTCACAGGAGTACAGCCCCTTTCACCCCAGCATCCCTGACCAAGAAGCTGCCCAGTCAGTCCCAGTGGGGCCATCAGCAGAACACAGGCAGGGGTGCTGATGGGCACTGCTCGGGGGCTGCAGGGTTTGGCCACTGCCCCAGAGCCTGCACAGGGGCAAGCACACCGGGTGCTGTACCCCAGCCGCAGGAGTGAGGATGATCTCACAGCAGCTAAATGTAGGCAGATGCCGGTGCAGTGAGAACACTTCCCCTGTGGTCACAGTGTTTACACAGTGAGCCAGGGCGTCCCGTAACCCGCAGCGCTTGCTCTACCTGATGGGATCTGGCAAGCACCCGGGAGCCGCAAAGCATCGCAGCCCCAGCTCCCAAGCACTGCAGACAAACGGGACCCCCTCCCCTTCCCTTCTGCTGGGCTCTAGGGGCCAGGCTCAGGGGGCCAGGAGAGGTGGGCAACCAATGCACCCTGCTGCTGGGCCAGGGGTGAGCTGGGACCCCAGGGGCCTCACATCCCAGCATGGGATGGCAGGGGTGAGGTCAGGAGTCTGCTGCAGGAGTGACTCACACGGAGGAGCTGGGGCAGGAGGAGCGTGATGCAAGAGCCTCCCTGAATCACCCTGCTGCCGAAACTGCCCTGTCCCCACACCTACCACTGGTGGAAGCATGACGGCTTCAGGCCCAGCCCCTGCCCCATGCCATGTGTGGGAAGCAGCCCCTGCCCCGAAACCCTCAGGAGCAGGTGTCCTCACATCCCAAGATGCCTCCAAGCAGCACTGCTGGATTCAGAGCCACACCAGCCTCCAAGCCCCTGCCCACAGCAGAGAGGAGCAGGTTACCAAGCTGCTGCTGTGCCACAAACCATCCCCACCTCTGCTCCATAAGGGCAGAAAAGGCCACGTACTCACCAGCCTGCTGGTCCATCTGGCACCCAGCGCTGTGCCACAGGAGCTGCTCACGGCTGGTCCAGGCTGGGAGCTGCTGGAGCCTGGCACGTCCTGCCCGTCCCCTCCTCTCCCGGTGACACAGCCACCTCAACCCCTGCACTGCAGCGAGGCTGGGCACCGCTCCTCGCCCGCTGGTTCAACTGGTTCCTAGGGGAGAAAGCAGAGGAGCTGGAGCAGACATCGCTCCTCATGCAATGGATGCAATGCACGCTTCCTGCGCCCCAGCCCCGCATGGCTGCTCCCAGCACAGCTCCCCACACGCTTGGGGTAGGCACGATGCCCTCCTGCTGCTGGCAGAGGGTAGTGCCAGGGCCCAAGGGATGGACACAGGGGTGTCCCAGTGCCAGCATCCTCCAACTGCCACCTCCTGGTGAAGAACAGCAGCCAGGAGGGGAGCAGGTTCCACACAAAGCCCTGGCCTTAAGTGCTCAAGGATGCCTGCAATGGTTATGGCCCTGTGTAGGGTGAGGGCAGGACCCAGGGTGACAGGGCATCACGCACCAGCTGCCCTCAGTCAGTGATGCACTTATGGGTCTATTCGATCATCTCTTGCCAAGCCACAGGGTTAGGTGGCAATCACTGCCTGCTTGCAGGAAGAGAGGGGAACCATCTGTGGCTGCAGGTAGAAGGTAACAAACAGGGACAAGAATTAACAGCTTGGAAACGGGGCAGCCGGGGGCAAAATCCCTCCCACCTTTGTGCACAGGCTCCAACTACACCATAGCAAAGCCAAGCCCCTGTACAGCCCCCCCACAGGGCAAGCATCTCAAGCCTGGGACCTGTGGGGATGTTGGCTGGGATGTAGAGGGGATGATGCACTCTGCATACCCCGGTCCAGCCCTGCCTGGCCTCTGCCTGACCCCAGTCAGAGCCAAGGTGCTTGGAAGCCTGCGTCACGCTGGGGCTCTGGGTGCAAGAGGCCAGGGAAGGGCAATGGGCTGGAAATGCAGCCGCACTCCAGGAAGCAAAGCCCTGAAGGCGCAGAGCCGTGACATAACACCTGAAAACAGAGCTGCTTCCTCAAAACCCTCACTTGACCTCCAAGGAGGAAGAGCTGCTCCCCACTGCGCCAGCTCCCACCCCACGGATGCTCCCGGGCTGCTCTCCCTTCCACAGCATTGAGGCCAAGCCATGGGGTGTGTGGGGCTGGCACTGCGATGCTCTGGGAACGCTGCCCATGCCTTGTGGCACGGCACAGGCCACACAGGAGGTGCTGGATGCACGGGACTGAGCTCACTGCAGAGCCTCTGCCTGATCCCTGCAGCACCCATGTGTTGGGCTGCTCTTGCAGTGAGCATGGGGAGGGCGTTCTTACCTGCAGATGCTGGGATCCCTGGTCAGGCTGGTGGGTCCCTGCTGCAGCAAGGTGAGCTGGCACAGCGATGGCACAGCGATGGCACCTGAGGAGCTCCAGGTCGGGATGCTCCACGGTCTCTCCACCGGCTCAGTGCACACACATGGCAGCAGCAGCTCTGCTTGACCACTGGTAGAGCTTCATTACAAAAGGAGAGGATAATGAGCTGCTTGGTTCATCCTGCACCACCTCCTGCATAACCTGCACAAGCCTTTCCAGCCAGCTGACCACAGCTCCCAATACCTAATCCTGACAGCCCATCCTGCTCAGCAGCAGGGCAAGCAAACTGCTCCCCATCCCAAGCCATCATTCCTGGACACATAACCCAGCTTTGCACCAGTGCTGCGCAGCCCCATGAGCAGCCTCAGCCCCAGCCTACGGGCACAGCACCGAAACTTGGGGGCTGTAAGAGCCCCTCTCCGCACCCAGCCCTGCCAGCCACACCTTGTGCAACACCAGTGAGCTCATCCAACGCATGGGCACCCACTCTCTTCCCTTCCGAGGTGCCTGCCTGTGTCAGCCACAAGCTGGGGCTGCACAGGGACACGCAGACTGAGTGACCTGAGAGGGTACAATGGCCCCGTAACCTCGCACGTAAACTCCTTTCCTCCTCCACCTACTAACACCTCTGTTTGAAAACAGTGCGATGCGGAAGAGATGGATGGAGAGCGGGACAGCCGTGGTTCCTCTTATCATCAGCTGGAGAGCAGGAAAAAGCCAGTCAGTTCACTCCTGATAAGCTGTTTTGTGACAGATCTGCAGGTGAGTCACCTCCAGAGGCAGATGCTCGGGAGATTACGGCAGGCGCCGGAGCTGCTGATAGACTGGTGTTATATTACCATACAGATCCTGTTTCACAACTCCTGCCGTGGGTTTTAAGGAGTGCTGGGGCGGTCCTGCCCCAGCGTTAAAGTGTGGGCAGAGCAGCACCGGCACAGGGGTGGTGGGAGCATCGCTGGCCCAGCTCCCTGGGCACCGGGGCACCCGCAGCCTCCCCGTGTCCCAGCTGCAGGATATTGGCTGGGTTTCCGCAGGCTGAAGAGCTGGATGAGCATCCATCGGAGCTGGATGAACATGGTGAGTTACCAACAGCTTCACGCACCCCTCCCTGCATGGCAGCCCCCCCATTCCCATGGCTCCTGCACTCGCAGACCGGCTCTGCCCGCAGCAGGTCACTGGTGATGGGGCAGCCCAGGCTCCAAAGAGATGCTGCTCCCTGGTCCCGGCCCCCCGCAGCATCCCAACAGGGAATGATTCTACCCGTGCCTCAACGCTGCACCATGGCTGTTGGACACAGTGCTTCGATCTCACTCCCACATTTCTCTGTGCCTTTCTTGGCCCTCTCCCACACTGGGAAGCATCTTGTTATCCCCCTCCTTGCCCTCAGAAGGGGCTGGTTCTTAGGCAATGCCAGGGAAGGAGCCCAGTCCCCTGTCCCCCAGTGCTTCCACTGCCAGTCCCTCTGCTCAGCACAAGGGACATGCTCGGCTTGGCTTCTTGCAGTGCCTTTAGCCAGCAAAGCCAGTACCACCAAACCCCAGCCTGGCATGCAGTCCCTCCCTGGGAGGAAAAGCCTTCCTTAACAGAGGGCAGGCACGTACAGCCCAGCTCGAAGGGCGGGCAGCGTAAAACCCTCCACCAGCAACATATCAGGACATCAATCCCTCCAGGGTAGGGAACTCGCTCACCTGCATGGCATCAGTGGCTACATGACCCCATGGATTAAATCTCCTGCAGCCAAGGAGCTGGTCCTGGATCCAAGCACCCTGCAGCCCTTGGAGCTGGGGTTTGCACTGAACATTCCACCTCATTCAGGAGCAGCTATTCAGTGCATCACAGCACCTTGCAGCCACACAGTGTGGAGGAAAAGGAGCAAGAACCCGGCTGCACCCCTGGATATCCGAGCCTCCTCAAAGAGAGTGCAGAAGCTCACCATGGAGCTGGAGTGCAGACTGACCATAGAGGCATCAACGTGAATACAGCAAGGGAGCTCAATTAGTTACGGCAGCCTCGAGGTCTCCAGGAAATCATGTGCTTCCACTCCACAAGGAGCTGGCACAGCTCTTGCCTCCCTTGGAACCTGATCAGTGCAGCTCTTGCTGTAGCTTGGTTTTGGGAGCAAGTGGGCAGTGATGG